TTATACTAAAATATAATAAATAAATAAAATAAAATATACAGGGAAATAAAACATATTTTATCATCTCGATGATTTCCCTTGCAATAAAACTTAACATCCTGATGGTATTTTTCTTTTGTCGCTTTTCACTAGGTTTAACTTGGATTTTACATAAAATTCATTCACAGAACTTCATTTTTTCTTATTTAAAACGTAAGCCGATTTGTCATCTACATTAAGCATCACTGTGCTCTATGTAACATAAACTTTATATAATGAAAGAAAATGCCCCTTGAGTTTCATTACAGAGAGCTTGTACCTACTGTATTTCTACACGAATTGGTATGCCCCTATGCTATTTCCCTCTTAATTCCCTTTGGATTTCCACCAACGACTTTCCTTTTGTTTCCGGTGCAAAGAAAAATGGAAAAGCCGCTCCGGCGAACGATATGCTCGCGAAAATATAAAAAGTAACGTCACCACCTAAACTGTTTTGCATGTTTAAATAAAATCTTGTTACTAAAAACGACACAAATCTATTAAAAGCACCAGTTCCGGCTATTAAAATGCTTCTTGCTTCTGCAGGAAACATTTCTACTGAAATTATCCAAGCCACTGGTCCATACCCCATTTCACTAGAAATTACAAATACGCACAAAGACAGTATTGGTAAAAATCCTATCATGCTGAGGGTATCGGATGACAGAATGTCTCTATCTTGAAATGTAAAAAACATACCGAGTAAAACTTCCGGTATAGCCATAAAAAGACCGGATAGGATAAGAAGCGTCCGTCTGCCTAGACGTTCTATTAAGAGCGTTGAAGCACAATTTCCTACGACTTGTGCTATTCCTACAATAATAGCCGATATTCCTGGACTTAGTACCGACTCATCGATACCAGCAGCGGCAAAAATCGAGGATGCATAAAATACGATGGCATTGATCCCACAAGCTTGGTGGAAGAACATAAGGCCTATCGAAACAGAGGTTGCAATCTTGGTTTCTCTTTTCTTAAACGACTGAAGAGCAGGCAGCTCATTAGCTCTGTCTTCTTCAATGTCAGATCTGATCTGTTTAAGTTCGTCTGATGTGTCATACAATCGCCCTCTTAACCGTTGCAAACTTCTGGAAGCCTCATCGTCGCGATTGCGTTTTAGTAAATAATACGGTGTCTCTGGTTGCGTCATGAACACAATAGCAAATATTATGGGAAAGATTGCTAGAACAATGGCAGTTACTTTAGCACTTACTACGAAACCCAAGACATAAGCTATTGTAACTCCTACGGCCAATAACAACTCTGCGAATGTCGACAGGGCCCCTCGAATATCTTTTTGTGCTGTTTCTGATACGTATTGCGGTGCCGATAAACTAAAGCAGCCTCCTGCGAAGCCGCCTAATAATCTTCCAATGTATATCATGTAAACGTTCTGGGCAAAGATTACAAGAAGCCATCCTGCTGTAAATGGAATAACCAAGATGAGCATCCCGTATTTTCTTCCCATGTATTCACACAGAGGTCCTATTGCTATACAAGAAAGCATTGCTCCTATGTTCACCAACGATCCTATCCACCCTAAGCTTTCATCATCTATTGAGATATCGTTGAAGCTTCCGTCCAAAAGCTCTTCTGCTGTATTTCCGGTCCATCCTAGTATACTTCCGGAACACAATGATCCTAGACAAACTGAAATAGAGGATTCAGTAAAAGCTGGTTATTATTCAGGTAAAATGTATCTCCAAAAGTAAAAAACTACAGGATATTATTTGCCATTTCATAATTGTTTTCTATTTATCCGTCGTTATTTTTTAGACTCCTCACTAAAGAAATTTAAGCAAATTATCTGCTATACATACTTGAGTTAGTAGTATATAACAGCAGATGACGATATATTATCATAGTTAGATATTGCGTGTTGATGAGAATCAATAAGATCAAATAAATTACTGACTAAGAATATACTTATGCTTGACCAGATTCAACACAAATTAATGACCAATTGTCATTTATAAATTAACTTTTCAAAAGTCTATGAGGTTTGCTAAGCAAAGTATTTGTTAAATTAAGGCCGGAGCAAAATTTGGTGATTAATTAGTTTAATTAAGCTACTAAAAAAGTTAAAAAGTTATTAAATAAATAGTTAAAAGGGTAATATTTACCTGAAAAAGCAGCAATATATTGAGGCACCCTTTTAGCTTTCTTCTGTTCTTCCTCGACTAAAATGTGGTTTGTTGACATAATAACGGTTGTATCAAAACTAATATTATTGTAAACGATTTGTAGAAGTCTACAATTTTATTATTGAAAACTTCCTTTCCTACAATAAGAGAAGATATTTTAAATTTTTAAACTTCAAACGGATAATTTTAAATGCCTCAAGAACTTGTTGTTTAAATTTCAAATCAATAATTTGAAAGTCCCTGAACATTGCTTATCGTATTTATCCATAAGGAATCTAATTAATCAAGCTTTATGCATGCGAATTATGTCGTCCGACAATTGATGACAAGGAATCGTCCATTTCATAATAAAACAACGCATAATAATGAAACAATTTATGCACTGTCGTCCGATTTTTGATGTCGGACGATTCCTGAAAGGTGTCGTGTTTTAGATTTTCGGAAACGCATGTCGTCCATCGCGGTAGGAATAAGTAGATGATGCTTCCTTGTACTAAAGTTTGGTTTTGTCGAACTGTTTCCTGGAACATCTGGTGACGATCCATCAAATGAGTAAATGATTTCCTGAAATAATTGTCCAGTTGTCCAACGACAAGTCGCATGCACAATTCTTTTCATGATTGTAAAGTTCCGTCAAATCGATATTACAGACACTTCAGTGAAGGTTTTCACAAATTTTCACTTACAATTTTAGGAAAATCAAGTGGATAAATACTGTCATTAAAAATAATGATAGTTTTTCTTCATTTATGGAAATTGTATTCATCAATCAATTACAAATAAACTAATAATTTCACTGCAGATATTATTACAAAACAGTTTCTTAATAAAATTTTGTTGAAGAGCAAAACTGTACTTACCACCTATTCCATCTAACTAATATCACATTGTAACCTCTTTAGATTTAAATCCTTTTTAAACACATGAAAAGGTTTATCGAAGCTGCATATCTGTTATCTACATCGAAATCAGACACTGGTTTAAAATAGAAATGTTAAGGGTCGATAATACAGACTGAGTACGTACTCTAAATTTACGATAAAGTGTTTGTTGATTTGTCATAGGTACACTAATTATTTTGCCGATATATGTATATTATTCATAAAACTTATTATCATAAATTTTACTGTCACTAGAGAGATTCTTAAATAAGCACAAAAAAGAAAAATGCTTTGTAATTAAGTTCTCCGTTTTCTGTAAATAATTCTAGTTTGAGACGGAATTCCAATTGATAACAACAATTAAAGTAACTTCTTGCTCAGTATTCTGTCAGACGTGGATCGCTAGAGTTGAACTGTTTGGTTCTCTTCAGCACGCCGTAATAAGCTCCTACAGAATAAGCAGAAACAACGTAATGAACGTCATCGCAAAACACGTCATGCAATTCAATAATGTTCAACTTGTAAAACTGAACCTACGACCTGGTCCTTCTGTACGTAGGCAATCAATGAGAACGAAAGTATAAATATGTTTTTTGATTAGTATCTTATTCTATGTAGTTATGGGCTCAGAATTTTTCATGTTTATTCGCATGCTAAGCACAAAAAAAATTATGAAATTTTCATCATAATGCCATTACCACCACGTCCATATTGAACCTTCAGAATTACGCCTACGTCTTTTTGCAAAAATTCCTTAGCTGCAAATTTTTAAACAAAATGAAACGGACATCGCTGCCTGCATTGGCATTGTGATAAAACAAACAACAGGCAGAAACAGATACACAATTCTTGATAAATACGTCTGAACCTGAATTGTCATATTCGTTTTATCAATGAAATTGCTAGAAATAATTTCCGTTGTGAATAGAACGTCACGTCAATGTGAGCATCTTATCTTAAAGACTGATAAAATCATATGTAGCTGTGCAAAAAGCAATAACACATTAAGAATGAAAATGCCACTATAATCTGCTTTGGTTCTGTCGTAGAATCTAGAAAAAGCATATTATCATTAGGCCAAAGCAGACACAAAAGTATCATCAAATCATTACACGACACTTACGAATTAGGGTCAATCTACATCTAAATATTTGTGATCGGACCACACCGTACCGAGCCAGAACAGGCACTCCACCATTGGAAATTCAGATTGTGTATCCCTTGTCGGTATACATTTGTATATTTACTAAAGCGGACACTGGCATCTGATTTAAAGTGTTAATACTATATTTATACAATAAAAAACGTCTTAAATAATAGTAAATAACAAAAAGAAACAAAATAAACTTAATGAATCAGAATTATACAAAATCAACTACAAAAAATTTGTGAAACTTTAGTATTGGATAGAGTGGTATCATAAACAGAGTTAATTAGCATAAGAGAATCAATTTTAAATAATAAAAAACGCACTCGATTCTCTACTGTTTAGACTTTATTGATACAAAAAAAAATGTTCAGTTTTTCCCCTAAAAACAAAAGGCGAAACGTCTAGATCTGCTAGAACAATAATTAGAAGATATAAAAACAATAAGGTATAATTAAAACATAATTGGCGAACAGTAAAACTTCTTAAGCGCTTTTATTGGTCAATACTTTACCATTTACACTTTACAATTTATTACACCCTCGGACAGCACTACCACCCCAAAATTCTCACTAGCCTTTATACTTAAGTAGAAAAAATATTGTAGAGTTTACAACATTCCTGAAACATTACGTTTAATATTCTTTTTTTCATTATTTATTTTTAGGTATAAAAAATATTCATTATCACTTGAATTCAATTTTATCGCATATCTGATTTAAACATGTTTAACAATAATCAGAAGTGGTGTTATCGAAATATACTGAGAGCACAGTTTAAAGATCTATTGATCTATATATAAATCTTTAATACTGTGCTGAGAGTGTGTTTGTAATTGTAACACATTTTCACTTACTAGTTGAACCCGTTCAGTTGAATACTGTTATCGATTTATCTATTATGACCAAATATTGACATTTGACAGCTGATTGGTTCTAAATGGGATACGTCAAAATTTTCTTTCCGATTAAGTGTTAGTATTCTGGATCTCAAAAGTAGGCGCGTTAATTAGTTTCAGCTTTTAGTTGGACTTTTAATAGTCAGCTAATTCCAGAAAGTGGTATCTTAAAAGAAGATTACCATAGCACATTATTAAAAGGCCATGTTACGCGGCGCGTGGAGGGTAGATCGGCATTCCACGCGTCCGTCGCCGTCGTGAGAAGAAGCCAAAGAAATCATGAGGATGAGTCTGTCAGCGTGAGGAATGGCAGTTCACGCGCCGTGTGACGTAGACTTTATATAAATAATCATTTTAGAAAGTTTGATAACAGAAATTGAATCTTTGGTAATATTATTTATTATTATACTTGGTCCATAAGTATTGATACAAGATGACACAAGCTACTTAAATCTGAACATAATCTCAGTTAAACATATATTTATATCATATATTTCTAAGAAAACAACTTATAAACTAAACACTTATTAACCACGATAACATCAGAGAAGTTAATTTCATTTTCCATAATACAATTGCATTTGATAAAAACAATTTGACGTAGACGACACTAAAAACATTATATTTTGGAAAAATGTTAGTCAGAAGGTAGAACAGACGACACGAACGTAGTACTTACTTATTTTTCCTGTCATCGTGATCTGAGATTGTCAAGGTTAGCAGTAGGCTTACCAACAGTAGTATACGTAGAAACAATATCTTCGAAACAAAAATTAAAAAATTTGATGATAAAATAAAAATTTTCATACATAACTAAAAGTAGCGTTCGAAATGTAGTGTTATAGGCGAATGATGAGGATACCGTGGATAGAGAAGGTTAGAAATGAAGAGGTATTAGAAAGAATAGGAGAATAGAGGACTCTAAGAAAGTCAATAAAAAAAAGGTGAGATAGGTTGGTAGGACACCTTCTCAGGCATGAAGGTCTAGTCAGAGACATATTAGAGGCAGAAACGGGAGTTAGGAAGGGTACACTCAGAAAAATGTTGTAAGAAAAATTACTATAACGTTATAGAGGTTGTTTTGTAGAAAATGAAACTCAAATTTGTAGTAAGGTTAACTAACGGTAAACTTAAATTTGACTATAAAATTGTAGTGGTAAATTGTAGGAGAAATATCGACAGAGGCTCAGACAAATTCCTTACAATTTGAATAAAATATTTACAACAACAACTTCGTGAATTTCATTACAAAATGTAGTAAGATTAAATAAATTTTGTAGAAAATATAAAGATAAAATGTAGCAATTTTTATTGAATATTTATTTGCGTTTCAGTTGTAAACAAATATGCTACAATTTTGTATATATTTTTTTAATTATTGTATAGAGATATGCTACAATGAAAAGTAATTTTTAAGAAGAATTTGCAGTACATATTCTTTAAAGTTGTAGTAGAGAGACAAACAGTTTGTAGGAAAAGAAGTAATTACAATATTATATTAATTTTCACTACAACTTGTTTCTGTCCCTATACTCGCTACTATTTGTAATGAAAAGTTCTACAACTGTAGAAGTTTCTTCTTCAGCTTTCTCTGAGTGTAGAGGTAGACCTAGATTAGATTACTGTTCGCAAATAGTTAAGGATGTGGGTTGTTCTAGTTTTAGAGAAATGGCTCAGGATAGGAAGGAGTGGAGGTGCGTGTCCAACCAGTCTTAGGACTGACGACCTTATGATGATGAACTAAAAGTAGAAATTAGAAATTGTGGTAAATGACTAATTAAAAAATGAAAGAGACTTACCCAAATTACCACTAAGTATAAATTGATTACTATGGACACGTGTTTCTCCCACTTTTTAATTTGGGCATTATTAACGCAACTCATTAGCAGTTTCGCGTTGATAGTGCATCCGCAATAATCAATTTACAGCGGTAATTTAGGTGAATCTCTTCTTTATTTTTTAATCGAACATAACTGGTTACATTTAGAAGGTTAGACTCTATGCGTTATTTATACGTACAAGACGAAATTGGCTGAATTCTCAGCTAATCAGTGAAAAAACAGATAGAGGAATAAATACAAGATTGTTCATCAAAAGTGTTTCATCTGCTTTTTTATATTATCTTTAATTCAAAAGTGTCCGTTTGTGTACCTATCACAGTAATTAGTAGGTGTAATGTAAATAAATTGAATGCTAATTTATCGTTGAATAGTAAACTAACGGAAATGGTTGTAGCTAAACATAAGGTATTTTATCAGTAGCTATTTTTTGCTGATATTGTTTATTTGTTAACTTAATGATAAGTAAACACTTTAATGCTGTTAATTTAATGATTTTATTTAGTTGATTATGAGTAATCTTTATCTTGTCAATCTATCCAAAGTAACTGACATTTTGATTTATATTTAGCGTAAACTGTATTAAAAATATCTGATTTAGGGTGTCTAATATTGTCATTTAATAAATATATTACAACATTTCTGTTACGATATGATAAAAATTTAATATCTACTTTCTCTATCTGTTTTTAATAATACTATCTAGCACTATTATGTAAGGCTTTCAATCAAGTAAGTTGGAAATTTTTTATAATGTAGAGTAGCGTTAAATAGGTGTCTTCTTCTTGCCGGATCCAAAACTAACGGTAAAGCCTTGTTACATGGCGCGTGGAGCGTAGATCGGCATTCCACAACCGTTCCAGGCCGCGCACGTTCGCTCCAATCCGTGCCGAACTCTTTACATGGAGCGTGGATTGGCGATCCACTCGCCGTGTAACATGGGCTTTAAACGACGCGTGGAGCGGTAATTCACGCGTAGCGTATGTGTCTATACTCAGTTCACTATACGGCGCGGAGACTGCCATGACAGCATAAATGATATGTAGCACATACTTAATGATCTTTTATAATAGATATGCATACGCTTTTTACATTATATACACTAACTGACGTTCTTTCACGCTCCACGCCGCGCCAACCCTGTTACAAAGAGCGTGAATCGGTAATTTTCGCGACCGGCGCTGTTGTGAAGAGAAATTAAAGAAATAACGCTCTGAAACGCGCCCGCCCTCTTCAGGTGGCATGTAATCTATTACAT